CAGCTCGACCTCTGAGTCACTGGATGTGGGTACTCTCGTGTTCTCTGAGTCCTTGTTCATCAGCTGCTCCTCCGCTGACTCCAGACCTTTCTGGCTGTCAAGGGCAGGGCCAAGATCGACCCGCCATGTGGCATGTTTTTCCAGAGGTTTCTCCATGCTGAGATGGTTCATGCATGTCTCTGGGCAAGCCTGTTGTGTCAGTGCTTCTCTATGGCATGGCGTTTCTTGGGCAGCAGCTGGCCTGAGGGCCTGCACACGTCTCCACGCTGCTTCCCAGGTGCCTGCTGCTGCCCTTCCCCGAAGGGCCCACGCTCCCCAGCCCCACTGCCTCCCAGAGTGGGCACCTGCAGCCTGCCTGCCTCCCCAGGCGCCTCATTTTTCTTAGACTATATTTCTAATAACAACAATAGGCAATATTAATTTGGGCTCACATCTGCTACGCTGTTCATGTTCATGTTCATTGAGCTCCCATGACTGCCTTCTGAGTGAGGTACAGTAATTAGCCCCAGTCTAGAAGTGAGGAAATAGCTGAGTGGGTGGCACACACCTGTAATCCCAGATATTCTGTGGCTAAGACTGAAGGAGGGTTGCAAGTTCAAGGCCAGCCTGGGCAACTTAGCAAGATCCTGTCTCTGTCTTTTGAGCAGTATGGGGGATTGAACCCAAGGCCTTTGCACTAGGCTACATCCCCAGCCCTATTTTTATTTTATATTTTGAGATGTGTATCAGTCAGGGTTTTACTAGAGAAACCGATACAACACAAGATATACAGATGTATAAGAAATTACAAAATTGGCTTACGACGGTCAGTCAGAGTTGGATGAGGAAGCATGCAAAAGGTGTCTGCACACTGGAGACCGAAGGATTTGGTCCTAGGTCTGGAGTTCACTGCAGTGTTCTGTGCAAGTCCTATCAGGAAGCCAATGGTTCTGCAATGGAAGGCTGATAAATCTATGCCGAAAGGCTGAAGGATTGAAAGCAAAAGCCGAAGAGTCTACATTAGAAGCCAGGAGACGATGTCCAAGCTGAAGGTGAAGACTGGAGCTCCTCTGAAGAATGGAACCCCTCAGTCCTTCCTTGTTTACCTTTTATAACATCTAAGTGATGATCTACCCTAGGGTGGCTCCTCTACACCCTCAGGTGTAGAATTGCCAAGCCAGTTGCTGAGCCAAGTTTAGTTAAGCTTCTAAACTTCTGAAATTGACATAATCAATCAAACATCTACACAAAGCTTCATTAAGCTGTCCAGGCTGGACTCAAACTGGTGATCATCCTGCCTTTTGGCCTTTTGACCTTCCAAAGTTCCAGGATTACAGGCATGCACCACGACACCTGGTTTCAAAATAAAATTTAAAAGGGGCTCATGGTGTGGTTCAAAGGTAAACTACTTACTAGCATGTACAAGGTCTTGGGTTCCATCCCCAGTGCCAAATACATAATAATGAGTAAACTGAAAAAAAAAATGAGTAAACTGAGGCACAGTTTTGTAACCTGGTGAAGGTCACATAGTTAGGAAATGGTAGAGAGCTGGGATTCAATCTAAGTCTTCCTCTGTTGCAGGATGAGGTTGGTACTCCTTGGTACAGTCACTACAGTCTTGTGTGCTGATCTGGAAGTGTGACTTGGCAGTTCAGAGTGTTTTTTACACCTTGGGGAATGATCCCATCTTGTGAAGGTGTCCTGACTTGGTTATTGTCATCCCTCTTGTAGGAAAGAGAACCCCACAGCCAGAGCTGTGAAGTGATTTGTCCTAGGCCACTGCCTTTTGCTCCCCATTTTAGGGAGACGCTGGGGGCTGCCTCACCCATTATTGAGTGTCAGTGACCAACTCCTTTTGCTGTTCCAGCTAACAAGGGCTGTGGTGTGTGGATGATGTCATCCAGTCTGCCCCACGTCACCAGCAACCATGTGAGCTACAATGGCCTGTATGGAGTGGCAGTATTTAGCCAAAAGGATGGCTCTAGTGAGTTCCCTGGAGGCCATGGGGCCCAGGAGAACTTCAGTGAGGATGGGGACGCCATCCTCTGGGAGACAGAACTGGAGAAGGAGGATGACCCACTGCGCCGGCCTATCACCATAGCTCTTGTAGAGTCTAACAGTATTAATCACAATGGAGGTAAGTGTGCCCCATCCCCAGCCCTTGCTGAAGAACCTTCCATGGCTCCCCACCCTCATAAGAGCCCTCACAGACTGGTCCCAACTTGGCTTTCCAGCCTTATCAGGTACGTCTTTCTGCCATTTACCTCATACCAAAGCCCTTGGACTTAATCCCTAAACTTGAATCCCTTTGTTATTATTATTATTATTATTATTATTACTATTACTATTATTAAGAGAATTTTTTAAAACTAATACAATCAAAACAACTTTGCCTCCTACCCCCACCAACTTCACTCTTGCTGTTTCTCTTGCCTGAAATTCCCCTTCTATCGACACATCCCAGATGAACTTCAAGTTCCTAACCTGCTCTGAACACACCCCTCTGCCATCTTCTTTGAGTTTTTCCCTTTTCTCATTCCCTACTGACATGTTTTATGGGGTGAGAATCACTTGCAGAGTGCTGACACAGGAAGGAATAGCTTCTAGGCCCTAAGAAGCAGAAGTGCTTTCTCTGGGAGTAACAGGGCAGGGAGATCAGTCAGCACCTCCAATCCACTATTTGGGAAATGAGTTCTGTCCTCTCCCAGGCAGGGTTCCTCCCATGTGACCATGCTCTCTTATGGGACAGACAAAGCTGCATAAATTCACAAATACTTATTTTTGCTGTTTTCATCCAAGCCAGGAAAAACAGCAGACACATGTCACCAAGGTTTAAACTTGCAGGCTTATGGCCCAAACTGCTTCTGTATCATCCCAGTCACTCACCACATCCCACCTCCCCAGCATACCCCTGGTCCTCTCGCTCCTGTAAAAGGTGATATAATAGGTGGAAACACCACCCCCATGGAATCTTGCTGCCAGGCTTTCTCTCCCTGGCAGGTCAGAGGATCTACTCCTGCTGAGTCTGTGCTTTTTTCTACATGTCCATAGTGCCTCTCAGCATCTATAATTTCAAGCACCATTTTTCCTTTCCAAAATGTCTAACATCTTTTAGATACATATTACTTAGCCTGGTAAATTTTTTTACTAAAAAATTAACAGGATTTCTCTTATGACAAAATCTCCGAAAATAGTAGACAGATTCCAGCTCAGAATGGGAAGGAAAGCAAAACAAAACACGTTTCTAGTAGGTGGAGCTCTCTGTGTAGAGGTGACAGGGGCAGCCTTGAGAAGACAGTGAGCTCCCTGTCACAGGAGGTGGTGTTTGCAGGGAGCTTTCAAGCCCAGGATGAAAGCTTGGGCCTGAGGATCTAAACAAAGCGAAGAAGTGTTTTTAGAGCCCCTTCCCTCCACTGCCTGTTGTGAGTTATTGCAGCAGGAAACTTTTTGATGCTCCAGGGTTTCCTTCTGTTGTCATTAGTTTAGAAGATACAGATTCAAGGCTGGGTCTGAGTGTCACTGGTTCTTCTTCCCCTTCTTCTTGCTGGGGTGCAGAACTGGGGGAAGGCTTTTCCTGGTGGTGTTAGGGCTGACCCTGCTCCCTCCCCCTCTGCCTGTAGCCTCCGGACTGTATGTCCAGAGCAGCGAGGCCCTGCACATCATCACCAATGTGATCCACGCCAATGGAGACAGAGGCATCACTGTAGCCCAGAGCAGCCAGCTCACTCGTGTGACCAACAACAGCATCTCCTGCAACCGCCAGAGTGGGGTCAAGGTTGAGGCCCAGTGTAAGGTGGAGCTCCGGGGCAATGGTATCTACGACAACAGAGGCCATGGTATCATTACCAGAGGTGACAGCACTATTGTCATTGAAAATGACATCATTGGCAACCGGGGCAGTGGACTGCAGTTGCTGCCCAGGTCTGACACTAAGGTGAGTATGTGTGCATGTGTGTGACATCTATTGCCGGCACAGGGCTTAATGCCAGGACACAGGACCCTACCCTGTACTGATAAGCAGAGCCATATGCACTAAGGACTTCATGGATTATCATCTCTCCTTCCAAAACACAGCCGGGCAGATTGGGGGAGTGGTTTCACACAGAAGATGTGGGGACTGGGACCAGAGGATGAACCAGAGTTCACCAGCAAGAAGCCAGGAGTGAGGATATAACCTCCTAGACTCATGGCATTGGGAAGCTCTTGAAGTAACATGTGGTCTCCTGGTCAAGGTTAGGGCTATTTCTGCTTGCTTTCCCTAACAGAATGATCTTGCACAGGACCTATTATGCTGTAAGTGCTTAACAAGGAGAGAAATGCTGCCCAAAGGCCTTTGCACACACTGTTTCCTGTATATCCAGAACCTCCCTTACCCCTTTATTACCTCATCCCTATAGCTTAGCTGTCACCTTCTTCAGGAACTGCTTGATTCCCACAGGCTGCTTGAGGCGCCCTTTTTCAATCTTTTGGGGTGCTTTGGTCCACCCTACTCCTGCCACACTTTCCATAGTGCTTTTTATCTGTTCCTTTGCCCATTTATCTCCCTCTCAAGGCCATGAGCTCCAAGCATTTTTTATGGAAAGCACTGTGCTGGGTGTTAGGGTTTCAGTGTTGTGGAACTGTTCTAGTGGTTCTCAGCTCTGCAGAAGTCAGTGAGTTAGTCAAGGAGTAAAGGACTCTTTGACTTTGTATCTGAGCACTGGGGGAACACAGGAGGGACAGAGGGGCAGCTGAGTTGTCAGTGCCCTTTGTCTGCCAGGCATTTGCATTCTATACCTGATGAACTCCTACAGTTTGCCCGTCACCTCCTCTGGTGAGCCTTGCCTGGTTCCCCAGGCACCTCTCAACCTCCTGTGAGTTCCTCTGGCTCTGTGCTGACCGTCAGAGCATAACCTTCCCCCTCGGCTTTATAACTGATGCTTCCCTTTCTGGGCTCCCCCACCAGTCTGTGAGTACCTGAGGTGTGACAAGTTCTGGTTGCTTCTCCCAGGTAATAAAGAACCGGATCCACTCATTCCGGGCCTACGGCATTGCAGTGCGGGGCCACGCCAAGGCCCTGGTGCAGGAGAACATCATCTTCCAGGGCAAGACTAACAAGACCATCTTTCAGCAGATCTCAAACAACAGAGACTGCATTATGCAGAACAACAAGTTCCTGGTCTTCAAGAAAAAGTAAGTGCCTGAGGTTGTCTGAACCTGTTGTTGAACAGCAATTAGGTTGCGGGGCAGTCAGAGCCAGCCCAGTGAGTGCAGCTGTTGCCTCACTCCCTGCAATTCTGCCTCCTCTCAGCTCTGGTCAGGAAAGGGCCTGTGCTCAGAGTTCAACAGGTCTGGCTCAGGACGTTCTGAGAGGGAAAAGATTTTTCAGTCAGGGAAAGTGATTTCAAATCTCAGCTCTGCCTGTCACTGGTTGTGTGACCTTGGCCGAGTTACCTAACAACTTTAAGCTTTAGTAAAATCTAACTAATATCTGTTTTGTGTCACCTATTTAGGATAAAGTAAGACCTGTGGCCTAGCTAAATATCCAAGGCATTCCAAAAATGTTAGTTTTCACTGCTGCTGACTTTTTTAATGCTGTGCCTCAGGGTATCACAACTGCCTCCTATTTGTCTTCCCCCAACCTCTGCCTCCTCTTCCTCCCTAACACCAAAGTTGTCTGTTCTCAGGCTCTCTTAGTTGTATTCTAAAATGTTCTGTACCTACTACCACCCTAACTCAGGTCTCAGCACCTCTTGCCTTGACCTGTGTTATCAGCACAGTTGTCCCAGTCTATGGATGGACAATTTTGATTTGTCAGTGCTTTGCTAAACTGGTTGTAAAAATAATAGTGATCCTCTTATTGTTATCACCCCTGCACTTTAATATCACCTTTCCCACTGCAGCAGCCTCTTGCCTGGTCTTCTGCCCTTAAGGCACCCCTCTCTCACTCTGTACTATTAAACCTGCCTGGCTAACCTTTCTAAACAAGAGCTCTGGTCATGCTACATCCAGTCAGAAACCTTTGATGGATTGCCATTTTCTAAGTAATGATTGTCACACTCAGTAAAAATAGGTTTTTTTTTTTTT